TTCTCCCCTTCGCATGCTCTCCTACCCTGTTGATCGTATACTGATAAGGATCTCCCTTCGCTTCAGCTCCTCGCAATGACCTTCGGCTCTTTACACATACCCGAAGACCTTGAGGCTCGGTGTTCACACAAAGATGATCCCGATTGGGCGCGAGTGACAGAAAATATCTGTCTTCAAACAACGCAACTAACCTTATAATCTCTGAGCCGCAATGAGCTCCAAGCTTCTCGCTCTCTTCAAACAGCCCTCCCGCCTCACCGTCCTCCAGCGCAGATCCCAGCACTCCCTCCAGACCCACGACGATAACGTGCACTTCTTCATCCTCCGCTGGCAGCCCACCAGGAAAGCCGATCGCCTCCGACCCCTGCCGGGAGGGCCCGGGGGCGAGCGGGGGGGCTTCGACGAGGAGGCGTTCGCGGACGAGCTGCATCGGGTGATGCACGAGGAGCTGGAGGAGGAGGAGGCGTGGCTCTTCAAGATCTACGCTCAGAAGACATACCTGGACGTGGACTGCATCTCGTACCTGTCTGTGAACCGGCAGGCTTTCAGCAAGGAGAGGTTCGTGTGCAACTGCACCATGTTCGTACCGGTGATCACGTGGGGGAGAGTGACGAGCGTGCTGGGGCTGCTGGAAGGGATCCGGGAGGAGGCGGACAGGGAGGACGACTTCTTGCAGCTTGCGCTGGCGATGATCTACCTGCTGGAGAAGAAGGCCGGGAGGGCGAGGCTTGTGCTACCGATCCTGCGAGACGAGGGAGGAGGGCACGTGTCGCTGAGGGAGGCAGTGGAGAGGCTGAGCGGGAGGGGGTCGGGGGTGAACAGCGAGAGGGCGTGCGGACTTCTGCAGGGGGCGGGAGTGAAGGAGGAGCGGGAGAAGCTGCTGGGGTATCTGAGGAGCGTGTCTGTGCGAGACGCGGTGGTGAGGCTGCTGTCATGCACGAGCCGGGGGAGCCTAGGGCTTGAGGCTTGTCCGGAGGCAGTGAGCGGAGCATGCGGGGTGTACCTGTTGGGCAAGGAGCAGGACGTGAGGAGGAGCGCGGAGGAAGCGGGGGGGATGCTGAAGGAGCATCTTGTGAAGGAGCTGAGGGCCCAGATAGCAGGGCAGGTATG